CTTTTACTACTCTCTGCTGTAGCAACCCTAAGCGTTTGTTAAATTTAATGATATTTAAATTAGAGATAAATATTTTTAGTAAAAATATAAGTTAAAATTTGCTTAGTTTTAACTGGACAAATAACTTAGTCGGGGGCGGGTTAATTAGTTAAGTGTATGTTTTTATGTAAAAATATATGTGTAGGGATTTAGTGGACCCTAAAATAAAAGTGGATACCTAAAAATATTTGTGATATTTAAACTTTAGACATTATATATGTTTTTATATGGTTATATAAAATAATGATCCTACTATAAACTTAAACCTGTGTCACCTAAGTGAAAATATATTTAATAAATTTACCAATTTTCTTCTAAATCAGCCTCGATTCCTTCATCTTCTTCTATTTCTTCTTCCTCCTCTTCTTCCTCCTCTTCCAGTTCGTGGCTGCATTCTGCCACATATTCCCTAAACTGTCCATAATGGACAGTTAGGATCTCCTCTGCTGTCATATCGCTGCATCTATAAATCATTTAAAAGAGTATTAGAATCAGCATAAAGTTAAAAACCCTTGAGAAATAAATTTAAAAACTAAGTTTAAAGATACGTACTGGCAACAAAGGGGAAGCCATTCTCCCCAGTGTTCTTCAATAGAGCAACAAAAGACAAAGCGGCGACAGCTCCAGCACACACCATTAGGCATCTTGTTAGAAAATGATTATAGTAACAGATAATATTGCTTTGGAGAGGAGGGGAAATAGTGACAGATAATACTGTCTTAGGAAGGAGGTGGAAAATGTGGTTAACTCAGATGTTCCCTCCCTCCAATCATATATATATATAAGCTGTAGCTGCTATATGGATTATTGTTATGTTAGTTTTCATCATAGCTAATATGGTGTTATTATTCTTCATACTACTTGTATTGAGACTACTAATCAGCTCTGAAGCAGTTGATGAAAATCTGCCCCCAAATGGTCAAGTAAGTAGTACTATATAATTATACAACTTTAGATAAATAATTAAAAGTAGCTTTGTGTTTTTTAATATATTTATTATAAAATAATTATTTATTTTAATTAGGAAAAGCTCTTTGTTAGTGTTTTTTTATCAATGAATATGTTTTTATAGGATAGGGCAACAATAGAAGGAGATACAAGAGATGAAAGAGAACGATCAATTTTGGAAACTGTAAGTAAACTATTATTCATCTTTATTTATATTTGTTGTATACACATTTACTATAATGTTTATTATTTAACCTAAAAAGATATCACAAATTTAAAAACCTAACTGTAAACAATTTTACTAGTTCTCATTGTATATTTTTGTCTATGCTGAAGCTGTTTTTATAAATATAATAGACTGCACCCTATTGGTAATTTTAATGTATATCATAGAACCAACTTTTACCAACAGCTGACTTTAAATATTCATAAAATTTTGCCTATATGTTAATTAGGGCTGTGAGCTAAATTATAGTTTAATTTGATAGTTAATTCATAACTTTTGTATAAATATATATTTGTTATTACAGTGGGGCGGTGGTTTGGAGACCTTTTTGGATCAATATCCCTACAATGCTGACTTGGAACATTACTTCATTAATGTGCATGGGGATGTCCTTTCCTTTGTCACATTAGACTATGATAATCTAGACCTAATACCACCTATACCTACGGGCTTCTGGACAATTTCTGAGGTATGTAGGTCTCTATGTAGTTTAAGTACCTCTAATAGTAGTAGAAGTAGTTTGTCTAATTCTTTATTTTTAATCTATATATGTATGGTTTTTTAGGAATATGCTCAAAATAGGATTCGAGATATGTGGTCGATAAGTAACCCTCCCGAACAAACTGGAGTCCATATCATAGAGTCATCACAAGAATATCCTAATCTTGTCTGGACTTTACTTCGATTAATGGTAGGTTTTATTTAAAAATATATAATCACTAGCTGTGTAATATAAAACTTTTATAGTATTTAGTTAAAACCTTATAAAACAGTTGGTTTATGTATTTTTAGATATGCTAACTATTATATATAACTTAATTTATGTTGTTTGTTTTAAACCAATATAATAATCAATAAAAGGATTAATTATCTGTATCTACTAGTTAACCCTAATATATCCTATCACATGAGATGCACTTTAACAAAATTAAACCACCAGTGGTGACAAATAAAACATAATAGGCCTACTTTTATTTTTACTATCAGTTTTATCTATCAATTATATACTAAATCTTGACTAAAAATGCTTATTTAAAAATATAATTTCCCACCTATATACAACACTATTTCAAAGTCTTTTTCCTAGTTGTCAGAAATCAAAAAACCAAAAGATAAAAAGTTTATAATTTTATCCGATATACAGACAAAACTCTAATTTTATTTATATAATGTGTCTCTTTTAAAAAGTATTTTTTATTAATCATAATATGTTTTTTATAGAGAAATGGTGCATCTATAACTCTTAATGAAGAACGTCAACTGCTTGCAAGACCTAATGTTCGGCAAGCACCTATATCAAAAAGGATTGTCCTTAACTCACACTTAAGAGATATGTTAAGAGAGGCTGAATCTTCTGTTCTTGTTGTAAGTAGAAGCTTTATATAGATAAACTTCTACTTATCTAAGTGTTTAATTCAACTTATTAGGTTTTTAATTCTACTTATGTTTTCAGCCATTTGTTGCTATGGAGACAGATAGTTTTTTTCAAAACGATCTTGGCCATCTTCTCATTTTAGAAGCTAACCCACTTTTACCGCCTCGCTCCCCGCCACATGTATTAAGCAACTTTTATCCAATTACCTGGGTAAGCTATATAACTTGAATATATATAATTAGATTTTTACAATATATCAAGATTAAGTATTTTTGTCACCTCTCATATCTTAAACTTTACTCTAAATCAAATATATTTTACTAAACCTTTTATTTAGACAGATTTTACACAGTAATCAATTACACAAGAGCTTTAAGAATTTGTTTTTAGTTTTGATGACTATAGTGAGGTGATTAAGTTAACTCTTTAAAAGTTATTAGTATTTATAATTTAAGCAACAAACATATTTATAATCTATATAAATAATATGTTGCAAACTAGTCTTATACTCTTAGGCTCTGCTCTAGCTGTTTTAAAAGTTTCTAGATTATTGTTTATATTTTAATCAGCTATATAATTTAATTATTTGTTTTTTTAGCAAACGGCGCAACAACTAATACATGAAATACAAATACAAGGAGCAGGTCCCTCTAATTGTATAGTTATCATACATGAAAACATTGATGGATATAATTGGCAATTGATCAGAATGTATACACTTCAAGACAACCCTATTTGGGCTTGGCAAACAACAACAAGGCGTTTTACAGCTAATACAAACTGGATACACATAAATGATCAGATCTATAACTATTTAGTAGCTCCTATACAAAACAACTCACCAGCTAGTTCACCATCAAGCCCAAATTCAAGCATCATAGATTCACCTCCTTCAAGCCCTGGATCTGTAGTTCCACCAAGTCAGAGTTCAAGAGATTCCTTCTTTCAAGATGATCGTGATATTCTAAGATCGGCTGTAAGTATATTTATAGATTAGAATTAGTTAGAGTTTGTTAAACAAGATTTTAAATTCTACTTATTTTAATAGCTTTTTTTCTATTACAAACCAATCACAAAGTTCTACATTTCAAACAAGTTCTATTTATCTCAACTATACTATATATATACTTGATCATAGTTTGTGATTTAATTTTTATTTATAAGAGAGCCTTATAATTTCAGAAAGCTACAACATATAATGTTAAGCATGATTAAACACACAGGTGTATATATTTAGACTACACAGATATTCCTAACCAACAAAATGTTTTGACAAAAAATTCTTTTAGAGTTATATAATATTACTAGTTCAAATAGGGTAATAATATTATTTTCTTCTATTTACAGAGTAGACAAAATGAACAAAGAAGAGCTATAAATAATGTAAGTTATAGTTTTCCTTATATAATACATATCTTAGATATTAAATAATCCTAGGTATGTAACAGAGTTTTATGATAAAAAATATTAAAACTTTAATTTTAGTTTAAGGTTGTAATTTTAAAAAAAGTCTAGCAACCAACAGATGAGTTGATTTCAATAATAGTTAAACTAACAGTTAGTTATTATTATTCTATTTTTAATAAGCTTTATTTTTACAGATATCTGAGAGTTCTTCACCACCACCCACTAGACGTAGGCGGCTAAATACAGAACGAGTGCTTTTACCCCGTGGAGACTCAGTAAGAAATATTTTAAAAGAAGTATTTAAAAAGTCCAAAAATATACAAGCAAAAACAATACAACAAATATTTACTAGGATTATATTATAACCATTTTATGTTTCAGATTAACAGATCAAATAACTTTGGCCTTTGGTTCGTACACACAAGAGGGATAGTTCTTCACATTTTTTCGGTAAAATACATTTTAAATATTTTTAAAACAATATTAAAATATAATTTATATTATATATGTTTATACTGTATATCATTATTTAGCTAAGATTGTGTTTCAGGAAGAAGTTATAGCTAGACTTGCTATACCCACCAACTTCCGGCAAGTAGACCAAGAATATGCTGAGAGGTGTGTAAGCGAGCTTTATACAACAGCTTTGCAGGAGCTGTTAGTTGAGGATTATTATATAACTTCAAGGATTAATGATGTTACCTGTGTTCTACGAATTCTTATGGTGAGTTATATAGAGACAAAAAAGATTTTTATAGTTTAAGAGAATCTTATACCTATTTACATTTTAAACTATTTGTTTCAGAGAGATGGTGTGTTTTATGAGAGGGACCTAACAAACATCCCTTCAGCTTCAATCCCTATTTCTGGATTTCCACATGAAGAAATTACAAATATGATAATACTGGAACCTTCAAGTTTTCTACGAATGTTTTCATCAGAACATGTAGGTAGCATTACCTAAACAATTTAATATTATTTTAATAACACCCCGCCTATTACTAATACTAATTTTATTTTCAACAGCTCTCACCAACAATAGTTTCTGTTGTTAGACCCTCATTAGTAGTACCTCCTATTACACCTCATTCAATACCTTCAACTTCAGCTGTAGCCCAGGCATCCTCAACCGATGGAATTTGGCTATCTGTAGATAGGTCGTCGTCTAATACACGAGCTAATGTTGCAATGCGGCGAGCAATGACTGCTGAATTAGCTGGACCATCCCAACCTTCCAGACGAGTACAACCTGTAGTAAGTATTTTAACATTACAAGACATATAAGTGTAATACTAATAGCCTGTAAGAACAAACTCAAAATCAATTTAATTAACTCGACATTTTTTTATTTTTACTGATGTAGTTAGATAATTACCAAAGAAGTTAAATAATTATCAACCACCTTCAAGTCGAAGCTACTATATTTAGTAGCTTTTAATGATAAAGTTAAGCCCTCTTTTAGCTGTTTTTAACATCAGATAGATAAATTATCGTTTGTTCCACATTTATTATAAACATCCAATACTACTACATATTTAATATTCTTTTATGCTCAACAGTAAGGTTCTGTTTAATAAAACATACATGTAGAAACAAGTACAAATTATTATAGTATTTTAACAAAATCAATTTAATTAACTCGACATTTTTTTTTACTGATGTAATCAAGTAATTACTACCTAAGCTATTACTAATACTTATTTTGTTTTCAATAGCCATCTTCCGATATAGGTAATATCGTTAGACCTACACTACCTTCAACTTCAGCTATATCCCAGACACCTTCAACAGTGAATACCCCAGCTGGTGTTGCTAGACAGCGGCCAACAGCTGATGAATTAGCCGGTCCATCACAATCTCCCCAACATATACAACCTGTAATAAGTATTTTAACATTACAAGACATATAAGTGTAATACCGATAGCCTGTAAGAACAAACTCAAAATCAAATCATTCAACTCAACATACTTTTTATTTTTTGCTGATATAGTTAAGTAATTACTTCAATGGTTTTAACTCTACTAAACATATTAGCTTCCTAAGCTTGCTTTAGTTACTAATGATAAATTTCTTATATATACAACAAATAAAAGTGTTGAGATACAATTACAGGTATTAGATTTTTTCTGTTATTATTTATCTCTTTTTTAAAGATTTAAAAATAAAACACCACATTTATCAAACTTATTAATCTTTATAGCTATTAATCTAATAAACTGTTACACTTAAATAGAGTTGCATTAGTTAACTAATCACAAAGTTACTTCAACACATATATTTTTAGTTCTAATAAGTTTTAAATTCCAACAGTGGGCTACACCTGGTTTATAAAACCATATTATTTTCCACTTATTGGGACTTGATATAGTACTTAAACAAATATTTCACCTATACAAATCTATAGAAAGAATATTAGTTAAACACTACATTATTAAATCTACAAATGTTTATATAAATCTGTAGTATATGTTTTTATAACAGAGGTTTATTCAGTTATTTTTATTCCTTCAACAATAAATTTAAATTAGAAGAGAAAGCTACCCCAGTTTTATATGATACAGATTAACTAGTAAATGAGTGATCCAAATATAATATTACCTTGATGATAAATCAACTATATATCGAAGTAAATAAAAATCAGCTTAATATATATGTTTCTATTTTCAGAATTCTACTTCAACTATACCTGAAACACATGAATGTCGCAGCTGCCGGCAGAGCGCTCGCCTTGAAACCTTTCGCAGGAGGTTACTTCAAAGGGTAGGTATCCTTTAAAGAGAAATTAAGTATAAATAAATTAATATGTTTACACTAAACTTTCCACACAAAATTTAACTATTGTTTACCTCCAACTTGAGAGATTTATTATATACTACTGTAATAAATTTTACTAACCAGCTGATTTATGGTTTATACTATTTTATATAAATAGATAAAAACATTAATTCTTGTATAATATCTTTCAGGCTGTGAATAACCCGGAATTTACCCTACCTGCAGCTGCAGCTGGTAGGATTGCTACGCTACGAACCGAACTCCTAGCTGTAGCTAGCTTAGCCGGAAATACATTAGAGGGTTATTCAAATGCTTGTGGACTACAGCCAGCAGTTATATCAGCTCTATGGGAGGACCTCCGTAACACGTTAGAAGGTGTATTGAGGCAGACTACCGGCCAAATAGACACTATGATATCAGAACGAGTTCCACGACCATCAAATCCCCCAATTAATTTGGTAACGTGTCAAATTTGCCTAGAGAATGCCCCCACAGTTGCTTTACAACCATGTGGGCATACCCTGTGCCCTAATTGCGCGCACAGGGTATATAGATGTCCCTTTTGCAGAAAATTTATAGCCGATAGGCTAAATATATATTTCTCTGAGTAAAATCTACTGTTTTTATTTAACCTCAAAAACCCTGTATTGTTAATACATTTGTATTATAATACAAATTTCAAAATAGTATTAGTTTTAATAAATAGTTACTTCTAATACTTACCCATAATAGAAGCTGTACCACAGAAGACATAATGAACTACACAACTGTAGAGGACAATCCGATGTCATATAATCAGTTGGTACTAATTAACAAAGCGTTGGTTTGAGGTCACGTAATCAACCGAGATAGTAAGAATCACTGCTACATGATAAAAAGTTTGTTAGCTCTAACAGCTTAGAGTAAAACATTTAAAAGATGTATATAGTACAAGTAATACATGGTTATAATCCATTATAGTAAATCTTATATATTTATACATTCATTACTGCATCAACACTAGCACTCTAGTATTTACTAGACTATTTCACTTGTAGTTACATATACAGGGTGAGTTTTAATTGTCCCCCCCCCCCAACTTTTTTCTACATTTTTTCAAATATCAATCCCAGACCACTTCCAAACATTGTTGGGTAGTAAGTACTTCATTTTGACAAGGTAGTCATTTCCGGCCGCCATCTTGGATCCGCCATATTGGATGCAAAATTTTTTTTTCAAATGTAAAGGTGGGGTTGTGACCCATTATTTCGAACTAAATTTTTACCCTGATTACAATGCCGCAAACCGTTTTTAAAAATCTTGATTCATTCTAAAGTTATGAGGGCTTTTTAAAACTTTATTTTTAGCCCATTTTAACATTATGCATTTGCAAACTAAGACCATAATCCCAAAATAGTGCTAGATAAAGATAAGTATACACTACCAGTAATTGTCGACCTATTTTTACTTGGTTATGACTGATGTATTTTTTTCGGCCGCCATCTTGGATCCACCATTTTGAAATGTGATAAATTATTTTAAATATGAAGGGGGTGTTGTGACCCATCATTTTGAACTACATTTTTAAGCTAAACTCAATGCCGCAATCTATTTTTTGTTATCAAGTTTTATTTATGAAATATTGCATTTTTTTGTTAAAAATGTCAATATTTCAAAATCAAAAAATGAAAATGAAAAACGGATCACAAAATTAAGTTCATATTAAAAAATTAGTTCGAAATGATGGGTCACAATACCCCCTTCATATTTAAAATAATTTATCACATTTCAAAATGGCGGATCTAAGATGGCGGCCGAAAAAAATACATCAGTCATAACCAAGTGAAAATAGGTCGACAATTACTGGTAGTGTATACTTATCTTTATCTAGCACTATTTTGAGATTATGGTCTTAGTTTGTAAATGCATAATGTTAAAATGGGCTAAAAATCTAGTTTTAAAAAGCCCTCATAACTTTAGAATGTATCAAGATTTTTAAAAACGGTTTGCGGCATTGTAACCAGGGTAAAAATTTAGTTCGAAATAATGGGTCACAACCCCACCTTTACATTTGAAAAAAAAATTATGCATCCAATATGGCGGATCCAAGATGGCGGCCGGAAATGACTACCTTGTCAAAATGAAGTACTTACTACCCAACAATGTTTGGAAGTGGTCTGGGATTGATATTTGAAAAAATGTAGAAAAAAGTTGGGGGGGGGACAATTAAAACTCACCCTGTATATAAATTCATATAACCAGCTAGGAATCAAATCTGTGAACCTCTCACTATACAAAAAAACAACCCAGAATAACTCATTTACTATTTGACAGCCTTTACAAAAACCATTTTTTATACTCAATAGTAAAGTTTAACCCTCTTTCAGCTGTTTTTAACAAACTAGTTTACCTTGTGATTGCCAGATTCTTGAAATGTGTAGATATCTTGCTCGATGTACATTTCACTACATATGTAGCATCATCAAAAACACAGTTTATCACATTAGACTATTTAACACAAACACTATTTACAAATATTTACATTTTCGGTCGGATGACGATTTACGGTAAAGTCAAAAAACCTAGCGCGCAAACGCATACGCAACCAGAAGCACTACATATATCACTATTTAACTAACAACTAGCTTGAAGAGGTATTTGTAGGGAGGTTCGGTCAGAGAATAGGGTGAGTTTACAATGTTAGAGCTTTCTCTTCTTGGACTGCGACGTTGCCAAGTCTCTGCGCTGTTGCCACATTGATCTTCTAGGTGGTTTATAAGTTTGAAAATTATTGAATTGTTGTAATCTTCTTTTTTGTTTAACAACATCTTTTTTGTTTTTAACATCTGTTTATTTCACATTTATTATACACTATATAATATAACATTCAACAATTACCAATTATGATCAACGGTAAAGCTCCGCTTAAGCGTTATACACTATATAAAGTGTTTTTTTCCAGACCTACTAGGATTGAACCTATGAACCTCTAAACTAAGTCACATGATCAGCTGAAATAAACAGCTGTGCGTTAGGATTCTCCCACTATAATAGCATTAGTGGTTGGTTAGATTCGAACCCGTGAACCTCCCACTATAATACAATACCATTAGGTTAGGATTAAATAACCGGAAATGATCGGTGATTAGTAAGAATCAAACCTCTAGGACACCCACTACAATACAACACTATACAAAAAACAAACTAAAGTAACTCATTTAGCATAGATTAAATATAAGTTTAACATATAATATTTGGTGGCCTTTACAAAGGCCATTTTTTATACTCAGTGGTAAACTTAAGCCCTCTTTCAGCTGTTTTTAACATCTATTTATTTTACATTTATTATACACTATATAAAATAACCTCCAATACTACTACACATTTAACATTCTTTTATACTCAACAGTAAAGTTCCGCTTAAACATTATACACTATATAAAGTATTTTTCCAGGCCTACTAGGATTGAACCCATAAACCTCTAAACCAAGTGACGTAAACAGCTGTGGTTAGATTACATCCGGTATTAAACCTCTAATAGCATGTTTTGTGATTGGTAAGAGTTGAACCCATGAACCTCTCACTATAATACAATACCATTAGGTTAGGATTAAATAACCGGAAATGATATTAGGTTAGATTCGAACCCATGAACCATATTAAAATCAAACCTCCAATACACACCCTATATATATAAGATACAAGGTAAGATGTCATTTACCGATATAAAACTCCATACCCATAACATTGCTGTAGCTCAACCAGCTAACGCATACAACTACCAACAGAAAGACCGGGGTTCGAAACCCGGTCAGGCCAACACTTTTTATCCACAAAACACCTACATCAGCTGACGTCACGTGATCAGCTGATCATGCGCATTTGAGATAAACAGCTGAGAGTACACCTAGATCATCTCAAGGTCAAATTTCTGCCCAAGCGCTGCCCTGACTACTGTTAGCCATGGACGACAACGACATGCCGCCCTCCATAATTATTTACAACCCACGGAAAATTTACCTGTAATATTGAGACTAAGAATAAGTCACTATAACTTAAATTGTCTGAGTCGCTTTACCTATGGTTGGTTTAGTAGTTAATTTTAGGTTAGTTAGGTTGCCTATACTAAAACTACAGACGTATTGACTAAAAAATGTAACAAATACTTAACAATAATTTCTACTTAGATCTTTCAATCTTCAACAGACACTACCACTGCCATCCTTAGGCCTCAATCACTATTACTAAACAAAATTTATTATACAAGCAACAACCAAATTTGATGACTGTCACAAAAACACAGGTGCTACACTGTAAGTGTGGTCATGGACTTGGAATGAAGTGAAGTTAGTTTAGTGTAGTTTGGATGATGGTCGCGTGCTTCAGCGCTGCCAACATAATTCTACCTATTATAATCGTATGTGATACAGAATTTCCCAGTTTTGGGTGGCTGCCCTGATTTATGAATGCTCCAGAGTCCCTATTATAAAGCATTAGAATGGCATCACGGAACCCTCAGCGCTGTTGGGTGTTTCTACTGTAAGACAATCATATACATGCATTGAGTTTGGGACGAAGGTGGCCTAACATAATCTTGAAAATGGTATTGTTAAGTAAATTGCGCAAAGGAAACATAGTAGTACTTACAAAAAACTTATAGAACTATTAAACTGTCATTTATGTATCGCCGGCTGAACGGCATTAAAAAGACATTTTTAAAAGTTAGTGTACTCAGGAACATATGTTTCGCCGCCATCCTGGTTGTAGTTCAATGGCGAAGTCACGTCGCAGACCAGCTGTGCGAAGGTGACTGGTGATGGTGATGCCAATACAATTACAATTACAATAAGATACATAAAATGGATTTTTTTTTTATTACGCAGAATACTAAAAGTGCACATAGTGTAAGAAATATTTACATCAGGAACATAATAAATGTTACATTACTTAATAACAATATTTACACAAAGATAGGTAGAATGGATTAGTTGAAATTGTACTGAATGCTAAAAGTGTTCATAAGAAATATTTACATTAGTCAAGAATATAACAATAAACATTGTGATATATTTTTCACACTAATATGGAATCAATTTAGTCAATCATACGAAATATTTACATTAGTCAAGAATATAACAACAAAAATTTTAATATATTATTCACACTAATATGGAATCAATTCAGTCAATTTCCATTAGCTCTATTGCTAGTGGTTGTACCGGAATAATTGGAGCTTCGGGCAATGGTGTGGTCTTGGGGGAATTGCATAG